AAATAGTAGGTGTTATAACCGCTGCCGTAGGGTAGAAGAAGTGCTGCGAAAGCCTATTTTATTAGTAATTATTCACTCTCATAGATTACAATTTTTAAATCCTTAATTAACTTATTTATTGGCTATGTGGATCTCTTGCTACTTCATATTTTCCCGTAAGAAAATGTAGTTTGAACAAAAAGTGAATGCCTTAGGACTTGTTGGATTGTGATTTTTTTGAAAATATGTATTTAGAAAATCTTATTATGTGGCTAAAAGGAAAGTATATGCACGCAGTGTACACAGGTGTACAATTCAAGGAAGCACATGCCCTAGACAAGCTTGAGAGGGACTGACTCGTCTTATCACATGCCCAATTTATCGAAGAAGCGCGCGAAAGAGAAGAAAGATATTTACCTTCACAGCAAGATGAAGAAGCACATAAAAGAGAAAGATACAGAGTTTTATTGCATTTTGGAGTTTTACTGAAAATGAATTTTTTGGCTGGAGATGGCCTAAGCCCAAACCAATTTCATAGGCCGCAACACCAAATAAGATTACTTGATTTAAAAAAAAAAAAAAATCTATTTTCATAATAAAAAATTTCATCATTCTACATATTCCAAGCAGGTCATAATTAGAGAAGCGTGTCTACAAATGCTATTGTCTTTTGGCTTCACACGAAATCATAGAAAATCATTAAGTAGTAGCTCTCAAAATAAATTAGAGAACAAAGGCAATTGAAAGAGTCTAAGCTCAAATCAATGCTTTAAATATTCAATACTCACTATTCAAAATTTTAACTGAACAGTAATTCGGAAAAAAAAATTGCAAAATATTACCAGCTTAGCCAAGTGAGCATAATAAAGAGCTGAAAGAGGTGTTTGCTCGGCAGGCTTGACTATCATAGTGCAACCAGCAGCAAGGGCAGGGCTGACCTTTAGGAAGAACATGGCCGTAGGAAAGTTCCATGGTATAATATGCCCGATCACACCTATGGGTTCTTTTAACGTGTACCCTTGAAACTCACCTGAGAGCTTTAATGTCTCACCATGAATCTTATCAGCTGCGCCCGCATAATAACGGAGAAGATGAACACAATGCGGGATATCCATGGCTTTACATAAGGAGAATAATTTGCCACCATCTATCGCATCAATAGTTGCCAGCTCCTCTGCGTGTTCTTCAATTAGATCGGCAAATTTCATCATGATTCTTCCTCTCTCCTTCAATTTAATTTTGAAAAGAAAGAAAATGTAATATTTTAAGATCATCCTAACAAAAACATCCTTTGATAATCATTCGATTTGCTATGAAATATATAGAAAATTATTCAGATATTTATCATACACATAGACTCGAACCTTGGACCTCTTAGTTGAAAGCCTAAGCTCTCAACCAATAGGCCAAAGAGAGTTGTGTGTCATAAAATCTTGGCTTGTGTTATTTTTACATGTCCATGATTAAAATAAGGGAAAATATTCTAATCTATTTTTTCTCTTTCTCAAATAGTATTTTTTTAATATAAAAAATATTGAAATTCATGTGTAAAATTTAGTTATAAATATTTTATTATATACGACTAAATTAATTAATTCTTTTCACATTCTAAATACGATTCATGCACTATTATGGTGAGAATAGTTTTTTTTAGATTTATCAATCATGCCAACTTAAAAAAAAAATCATAAAATAGAAAACTTCATTGTCTGATTAAGAAAAGCTTTTATAGAGAAAATATTTTTTAAAGTTATTGTAGAAAGCTTTAAAAGCAACGTGAAAATAGTAACCACACATAAATTGTATATGCAGTCTAAAAAGTTATGCAATATGAAAGATTTTAGAAGCTAAGCCTAAGGCTTCATTTGGGAAGGTTTTCTTATTGTTTTCGGAAATAGTTTTTTTTAATTCTTAGTTTAAAAAAATTTGTATTAAAAAATAATTTTAAAATCAATAAGAAAACCATTCCAAATGAAGCCTAAGTGTTTCAAATTTACTCAATTTTAGATTTTCATTTTTATAGACTTAAGTTTCATTTGGGATGGCTTTTTTAATCTGCTTAAAACAGTTTTTTTAATTAAAAAAATTTTATTCTTGTATTAAAAACCTTCTTTAAAAAGCAATAAGAAAGCCGTCTCAAACAAAGCCTTAAGCTTCATTTAGGATAGTTTTTTACCACTATTTTTTTTTATGTTTTCAAAAAATTTTACAATAAAATTACTTTAAAAATTAGTAAAAAAGTTGTTCTAAATGAAGCCTTACTTTTTAACTATTCCCAAGAGTTAACCGAGTCTAGAAACAAACACAACTCTCCTTGGCCTATTGGTTGAGAGCCCAACTAAGAGGTCTAAGGTTCGAGTGTCGTGTGTGTGAGTTTGTCTTAAATGGCCTAAATGTCCCAAAAAAAAGTCTAGAAACAAAACTTTTGAAAAGATTCTTTTGCTTTAATTTAGACTTTATTTAGGATGGCTTTTTTATCGATTTTTAAAAGAACTTTTTAGTACAAAAGTTTTTATATTTGCAAATTGTTTAAAAAATTAATAAAAAGCCGTCCCAAACGAAGCCTTAGTCAAGCATAAATTACTTCTTATATGTGAATTAATTTTAACATTTATTCCGACTATTATATACTAATTAGCATCAAACATTAGATACACTTCGCTTTAATAATTTTCTTGCGAAGCTTTAATGGTTTGTGATCATGAGCATAATATCTTATGGTACATGATTAGTTATTATTTTGCAATTAAATTTATTATTTATACCCCGTCGGAGCTTAACGTTCTTATATATTTTAATATCTTTTATATTCCAATAAAGCTATAGGCTCCATGCCGTCAGTGCCATTTTTTCTCTTTTAATTAATGTTATCGTATTGCCGGCCTGACAGTCTTCGTTGAAAGATTATTAAAATGATTTAAAAATAATAATTAACTGGTTACCGAGAGCAACGATAATTATATAAAATATATAAAACTTCAAACATTTTCGTTTACATTAGAAGTTGATTGACTTTTCTTACATATTAAAATAACTAAAAATAAAATATTACTGGGGACGGTATGATTACGATACAATTAATATAAAAAATAAAATTTTTATACTAAAAAATTATCTTTAGAAGCAACAAAAAAGGGGTCGAAGCCTAATACTTTGTTTGAGACGGCTTTCTTATTGTTTTTTGTAACAATCTTCTAGCTAGTACGAATGTTAAAATTTTTATACTCAAAAAATATTTTAAAAAATAATAAAAAAAATCATCACAAACAAAATCTTATAGGAGAAACATACATAGCCTGACATACGAGGCCAGGCGCCGTTATCAAAGGCATTCCTGGCAGCTTTCACCGCTAAATCAACATCAGCTTTGTCTCCTTCAGCCACGGATGCGATCACCTCCCCATTGCTCGGATCTCTAGTCTCAAATGTTTTTCCTATAAAAATTGATTGATAATTTTAACACTTAATTAATCTTCAAAAAGATTTTTATTGCTAATTAAATAGGCTTTTCTATAAAGAAGATTAAGGTTATCATAACTAATTTTGTGTTATTTAATTAATTGTTTGATTATTCATAGCAAACAATCATCATAATTAATCACAATTTTAAGTAAGTTTATTTTGATATTTAAACATGGATAGATAAATAATTACTTAATTATTCATAGAAAAAGTTAAAATATAATTTTGATTAAGGGAATACTACTACATAAGCATAAGAGAATTAGTTATTTAATCAATTTATTGCTAATATAATAGAATAGCTATGAATCACGGTCTTTTTAATTAGATAATTTTAGTATATATATTTAAAAGATCTTATGATCATTTTAATTTATTAAGATTTAAAATGTATTTATAATTTATTAATAATAGTTCATGTATAATTATAAATTATGTGACTATTTATGGTAAGCAAATTAATATATGACATACACAAATTAGTATAATAATTTTGCTCATCTTATCTATGCTTGCAAAGTCTTATCTATTTAATTAACTAAACAGTTAGTCGTTCTTAAAAGCTTAACATAAACTTATTTGACTTAATTTAACTCAAGCCCAGATCAAATAGTCTCTAAGATTTTCTTTGACTTGGTTGTAGCATTTTTGTAAGAAAATTATTATAGGAAAAATAGACTTTTTGAAAACAAATATCGGTTTTTTTTTTTTTTCTTAAAAAATTTAGATTACATATTTCCTGCATCAGTAAGACAAAAGAAACCTAATTTTTCGGCCCGTTTTTTATTTTTTGGGCTATTATAATTAAGACTAAGAAACTCTCTTCGCTCTTTTTTATTTTATTTTATCAAAAATAAAACATACCGCAGGAAATTCTCCTGCTGTTTCATATAGTCCAAAACAGTTTCGAATCAAACATAGTCGATTGAAAAAATTAATAATAATAAGTTTAAAATATTCTGATCAAATTTTGGATTTGACGAATTTTATATCTGTAAGATCAAACTTTGATCGAAATATATTAAAAAAAAAATTCCAAGATAAATTCAATGAAGAAATATGAACGGCGAGATAATAAGAAACAGAGTTTCCTGGCCATCACACAGGAGATTTCAGCTATATGTGATGAAGATTTCTTTTCTAAAATTTAAAAATTTTAGGAAAAGACTAAAAGCAATTAAGATGAAAAAATTAACCACCTGAGACGGAGTCAACGAATTGGCCATTGATGAAGAGCTTAGTGAACTGTATTTTGAATCCCACGGAGCCGTTGCAGCT